TCTTGCTTTCTAGCTAATCTTTAGATCTTCGGCTCTGCTTTTAAGCAGAGCCAAACCTCCCTTAGGACTGAAGGTTCTGTTATTCAGTGCAGACTCAGATAGCCGATGGCAGAAAGATAGATCTCTGAATCTGTGATTCTGTGAGTAACTCAATCTGCCTGCGTGCTTTGCCTGATTGGGTAAAAGTTGCTCTTTTTTTATAAAAAAATCAATATTTACATACATGGTGTGTTGTGAATTAATTTTATGAGTTTGCTTGCAAGCAAATTTTATGTGACAGATTCAGATATCTGACGGCAGAAACACAGACCTTTAAGTGAATCTGTGATTCTTTGAGCAACTCAATCTGCCTGTCTGCTTTGCCTGATTTTGGGTAAAAGTTACTCTTTTTTATAAAAAATTCAATATTTACATAAATATTTATAATATTTACATACAAGCCATGCCCAGCCAGTCACATGACCACCAAGCCACATTCACAAATTGGGCCACACCCCAGAACTGGTTGTTAAGAAATTTGAATCCCACCCCTGTCTCTGTGTGTTTGTGTGTTTGTGTGTGTGTGTGTGTGTGTGTGTGTGTGTGTGTGAGAGAGAGAGAGAGAGAGAGAGAGAGAGAGAGAGAGGTTAGATTAGATCTCTCTCTCTCTCTCTCTCTCCCACCAATGTCAGCAAGTCACGGTCAGTCAAAATTCATATTAGTGGTCCCCGGGATTTAAAATTATGAGTTTGGTGGTCCCTGAAGTCCAAAAGATTGGCGACCCCTGCTCTAGATCATGCTGAAAAAGTATGAAGAAAAACAATAAAGATGTTCTACAGAGTAAAGTATATGTACTGGATCCCCACAAAAGCCTGATGAGGGGTCTGGATTAAACATTTTCTAAAACAAATAGTCACTATGAATGCTTTCAGGAAACATGTGAGCACTGTGAAGGTGCTAAAACAATTATGCAACATTTTAACTAATTAGAATTCCCAACTTCATAATGAATACTTTTATTAGTAACACAGTGATCCTTAATATGTAATGTTATAATTACTATGTTACAGAGATTTGTATCGTGCCTTGGCAAAGAGATAATAAATTGATATTAGCAGAAGTTATGTTCCTTTATAGAAGAGAGGATACTTTTTTGATATCAAAGTTAAGAAAACAGTGGGAAGTTCCAATTCCCAAAGTAGTACTACTAAAACTTTGGGTCCTGGATCACAGAGTAAGCACAGTGTAAGGATCCATTCCTAATGGTAGAATGGGAAAAAACAAACTAATACTTAGTCAGTGCACTTTATTTTGGATCTTCTGAATGATGAAATACAGCTCTTAGATCACTATTGTGATCTAATTAAGAGACCTCTTAACACCAAAAATGGGATTTTTCCCCACTTGTTACCATGTAATTTTAGTCAGCCACTCTTAACATTATATAACAATAAAGAAGTTTAGGAGCCACTGAGCCAGTTATACATTTGCCAGACAGAAGAATCAACAATAAATTTCTTTTTATAACTTTAGTAACAAATAATAAGATATGTGAATGAAAGTAAACTGAATACATAACAAAACAAAAAATGATCCATGTAACAGAAATGTAGAAAGATTGGTTATGTCACAATTTTGCACAGAGATTCCCTGCATGGACTGGTGATATCACAGGAGCCTAGTTAAAGTGAGACTATCTCTGAAATTGTTTTGAAAACAGTTACTAAATAATCATCCCAACAACATATAGTGCAAATACATTCCACCCTAGAGTACCACACTCTGTCTTCTTCGGTGCTATAAAAAACTATACTGTAGCGTGAATGAAATTGAATATAACCCTGATCAAAAAGAAAAGCATGAACTAATTAGCTATGAACTATACGATATCCAATGTAGTCAACAGAACACCCCAAATTATGTTCTTTTTACCAATCAACTTTTGAATAATTCAAGAATTGATTGAAATATTCAAATATTAAATTTAGTACCAGGTCAATATATCATTCTAGGCATTATTTGGTTTTAAACATGGTTTCTTAATTAAGTTACAATGGCAGTGTTCATACACTAAGTCATGGTTTCCTTAACCTGAGTATAATGGCTGACTGGGATGACAACCCATTAAGCTTTAAACCACAGTTTTCAAAATACACTGACTAGATTTGTACAGCTTTCTTCATACAAGTTTTTATCCCAGCAATAAATAAAGAGAAGGCACCTACCCCATTCTTCTAATCTCTTGTGATTTAGAAGTTTCATAAAATGATAATGGGGAATATAACTCAAGAAGAATAAAATATTAGCTTTTCAGCCCACTACCATGACCTGGCTGAAACTTGGCTTTCCTGCTAAGTGATTTTAAACCTGAATGAACATTGTGATTCATAAAATTATGTGAAAGGGAAAGCATAGCCTAGAGTGAAAAGAGCCACCTTTTCCCCTTACTCTTTTTCTGCCAGCCTTCTTTTTTTAACGTCTGTTTCTCCTTCCCTCCCTCTCACTTCGTGCCTAATGGGCTGCCAGCACAAGAGACAGACTGTTTTGATCCAAGACATAACGATTACTAGAATGATTTTGCAATTTGATCAAGGGCCACATGGGAAATCTATTTGGGCGAAGAAAACATCAGGAGATTCCTATCACAGACCTCTCGACTCATGTCTAATCCAACATTTTTGTTATTTAATGCCATAAAGACTAAGCCAATTGCAGTTTGGTCAATTAATCATAGGTAAGCAAATATTTAGTGTAGTAAGAGAGCCCAGCTTTTGCAACATTTAAAAAATAATAAGTTGCCTAACTTGGGACATAATTTTGGCTCATTACACTCTGGATGCAAGAAGTTGTAACACCAACATTAATGAAATATTTCAAACACATCCTGCTTACTTCCTATTACCTATTGCCAGAAAACTGAAGACACTGAAGCCTGTTCTTAATTAGAACAGAAGTAGCCATCATTTTTGCTCATCCTCCTTTAACAACTTTCTCCATTTCAAGTGGAAAGAAAACCCTGAAATATACACAAATTTAGCTTAGTCTAATAAGTTGAACCATACCAATATCAATGACAATACCCCTCATTTGGGTTTGTGTCTTAGTGCATTGAGTTATTTCAACCAGTATGATCTATGCTTGAATGTGTTTTTGAATATTGACAATGGTTCACTTAAACTGGGTTAATGAATTGTGTGAACATAGCTAGGTCTCCAAATGAGCATGTCAAGTAAATATAGTCAAATAATGCTAAATAGAAGTTCTAGCTTCATTCCAGCTCTATCAATCAAAATTTGTTTTCCTGTCTGATGGCAGACAACTGCCTTCTGCATTCAAGGAAGCATTTGCTTGTTCCTCCAATTTACAATATTTAGTTTGTTCAGTGGCAATGGAACCAGAAATGCTATCACTGTGATGCAGTCATATAACCGTGTTATATAACAAGAGCAATTCTTATTATAGAGCTATCATTTTTTATATCAAGTTTTTTTATTTTATATTACATATACATATCAATGTGTGACACCTGGGTACCATACATTTCAATACAAATAAAATAATATTATTAATCATAGTTATCACATTCATCCAGCTTATATATTTCTAATAGTAATACACATTTATATCAAATTATAATCTTTAATTATTTCATATTGTTTAAACATACATAGTATTATTGCTGTTCAATTTCTAAACCCCTCTCTTATCATTGCACTTACCTTATTTTATAAAAATAAGCTATCATTTATATAGCTATCATTTTTAAGTGGGGACTACGTGAGAACCTCATATCACTGGAACTTCTGACTTCCTCCCGGTTTCCTCATTGTTGAGTTTGTTTGATTAGAAATTGCAATCATGTAGCTGCACTCATGTGATTCTGACCCTAACTTTTGGGACAGGCACCAAAAAACTAGGATCAAAATCACGTGAAAACAGAAACACTTCAATCATTAGAATTCTCAGAACACATTGTAAATTCTCTTGTTCAATACCATCAAAAGGTAAGGACTTCAGGAACACATATACAAAAATATTTTGTTCAAAGTGTATGTGCAAGATGTATGTGTATCTTTCAAGGGTATCCTAATTTTGGCATCCAATATGCCTATCTAACATTAGCTAAGTTCAGACTATCTATCTATCTATCTATCTATCTATCTATCTATCTATCTATCTATCTATCTATCCATCCATCCATCCATCCATCCATCCATCCATCCATCCATCCATCTTCTATTTCCTGCCTTTATTATTTTTACAAATAACTCAAGATACAAACATAATCAATACATCTTCCTCCTATTTTTCCCTCAACAATAACCCTTAGAGGTGGGTTGGGCTGAGATAGAATGACTGGCCCAAGATCAGGTCACCTAGCTGGCTTTCATTAGGATGAACTACAATTAACAATGAATTAAAAGAACCACCATTAGCTGGTATTGTACAAAATATGAAATCACGATTTAAGATTCATAACCCACAAAAGGGGCCTTTGTCAGGATCACTCCACAAACTAAACTACAGGCTTAGTAACATACTATTTCTATAACTATGGCTACAATGGGTTGACAAAACAAAAACTTTGGGTTTAAAAGTCACACTGAACTGTAAACTAACCAACCATACTGGCTAGGTATGCACATCAAGTTAGACTAAGTAGATATAGTAAGCTAGTACTGGCTCACTGTGTTGTATCAACAAAACTGTCATGTGAACTCAGGCACTGTGTATACAATATTTTTCAGATTCTAAAATGCTCTGGACAATAAGACACACCGAGCATTTGGGGAGAAAAACAAAGGAAAAAAAACTGCCTCTGCCTCCTGGCAATTTGCCTCTTTGCAGCAAACAGCAAACAGCCTGGTCAGCTTCAGCATAGCCTTATTTAGCACAAGCAGCTGATTGGTGGTTGGATCTGTTTCCCGGAATACCACCAATCTGCTATTCCAGGATGCAGGGATCAAAACCACCCATCGGCGCCAGCACCACCCATTGCTGCTGCCACCTATCGCCACCTCCACTTGCCCCATTTTCAGCCTCTGTGCATCCCATTTTCAGCCCATTCCAGGGCACGCAGAACCTGAAAATGGGATGTGCAGAGGCAAAAAATGGGGTGCATGGAGGTGGCAATAGATGGCAGCAGCAATGGGTGGCGATGATCCCCACAGCCTGGAACAGCTGATCGATGGTATTCCGGGAGGTTGATCCAACTGCCAATCAGCTGCTCGTGCTAAATCACGCTGTGCTGAAGCTGACCAGGCTGTTTGCTGCAAGGAGGCAAATTGCTGGGAGGCAGAGGCTGACGGGTGGGGGCGAAAGGGTGGGCGGGGCTTCAGCAGTATTCGCTCTATAAGACGCACAACGTTTCCACCACTTTTGGGTGGGAAAAAAGTGTGTCTTATAGTCCAAAAAATACGATATATGAGGCTAGTCACACTTCTGGAATCTGCTTGACAATAAACATTCAAAAGTATTGCCAAGGAAAGCTTTGTGATCCTGAATTATAAATCTGAAAGCTGGTAGTTTAATCCCAAAATTATTGAATTATACTTAAAATAGAAGCAGAATCTTCCACTGTCTTCAGTATTGTATCAATAAAAGAGGACTATCAAGTGCTAGGCTTATTTTGGCCCACAAGCTTGATATAAAACTTGGTTTAAACTGAGTAACATAAGAAAGTAGTCTTGAACTTTAACTGTCTAACAACTTTTCACCAAAAACTTATTTCAGAGGCTTTCGAAATTTGCTTTGGAGAAAAACTCTTGGCACACATATATTTTCTTTTTTGTTCAGAGTTTCTCGAAACACATATTCATTGATTATTTCCTCATATCCCACAGACAGGAAAAGTTCTGCCAAAAACTCTAGAAGGAAGAATATTTTTAAGAAACTTGTATTAAACTACAAAGATGAAATTATACAAATACTAAATAGGCAAGTTATTCTCCTCAAAACAAAAAATGAAAAATGGTTTTGTTGATTGTTTAAAAAAGAGACAGGCATCAATGCAGAAAATGATGCAATATCCAAAGTCAGATTTTCCTTCCATTTACCCAAGAAAACTGCTAAATATGGATTGCTCCTTTATGACGTACTTAAGATATATCTTTTAAATAATAATCTAGGTATCATTAACTGTCAATATAGTTTTTTAATAAAGTATTTTTTGAGAAAACCTGGAGATTATTTGAGGCAGCAGAACTCAGCTTAAAAGATAGAAGCGCTTACTGAAATTGGGTAATTGTCACATCCTTTTGCAGCTGGTTATAAAATAGAAATATATCTGGATGAGTTATATTTTATTTATTTGTTAAATTTCTGTGCTGCTCATTACCTTTACAAGGTGACTCTGGGTATCTTACAAATTATTATATGAGACTGCCTTCACATTCTTTATCTTGTATTACCATTTGACAGTCAGAGTCAATAACATTTTTATTTCTTTGAAAAGAAGTAGGAGTAGGTTGTCCTACTTGGGGCTTCCCTATGCACCTGCCCATCCATGGCGAGTAAGAAGAAGCTGGATTAAACTTTTTAGTATAATTTAGTCCAGTGTTTCACAATCTCAGCAGCTTTCAGATATGTGGACTTCAGATCCTATTCGTCTGAAAGTTGGAATCAGAATATCTGAAAGTTACAAAGATTGAGAAATGCTGATTTAGTCAGATTCTCATTGCTTTCAAGAATACGAGAAAGTATTATCTTAAGAAAGAAATCCTTAAATCTAAATTGCTGAAATTGGGTATAAAAGGAACATTGGAGGACCTAGTTTCTTTAGGTTTATACTTTGTAGTGATTATTATTAAATTTGGACTTACACAAACTTAAAGGATTATATACATACCAAAATGAATGTTAACACTTGTTAAATAACTTTTTCTGCTGTTGAGGCTGCTGTTTGCAGCTTTTTTTATGTTTAAACATATCTACTTTCTTTAATGTTGAACAAATTATTTTCTTCATCAGTACGTTTGTACTGTAGAAAACCTTTCAATCTTGGGTTTATTTATAAATTACTATAAAAATAAATTGTATTTTTGTTTTGACAGATTTTTGTTTTGTAAATTTTTCCTGTTTTTTAGTATTTGTTGCATGTTTCCTATACTGATATATATATTATATAATATCTTAATTAAGATCTCACCATCAGAAAAAAAGTATGACCTGGTTCCATCTTGTCGTACGTAGAAGTTTTCTCCCAGCTTGCAAGCAGATTTAAACCTCAGCATTGCATGATCATGAAGGCCATAATCTCTGAATAGGACATATTTACCTGGTTTTAATACCTGAGAAAAATATGAAACATATTAAGCTGGACTTAATTAACACCCAAAATCATGTAATGATAAAAGTGGAACATTTTATGCCACTTTGGCTTGGTCCTGTTAAACAGACTTCATACAATTTCATTTCATTATAAAAGGGTTTAAAATGATTGACTTTTATTCAAATATCATTCCATATTAATTATAATTACAGTAGAAAAATAAATTTCACAGTTGTCCTAAAACACATTTCACAGTTTGAATCAGTTACCATCATTTCCTTGAATCCGAGAATAACCTTAGTTTGCATTTAAGACATTTAAGACAATTATCGCGCAGATTCTATATTACAACTTTTCAAAGCAGGGCAAAAAACATATTAGAGCCATGCAGACTTGCCTTGTAAATATTGTTCAAAACGAAATGCATCTTTTCAGGATGAATGGCAGAAAGTACAAATATTAACATAACCACATCCACTGACTCTAATGGTACATTTTCCACAAGATCATCTTTGGTCAGGTCACACAGGAATACTTTGCATCTTTTGGCATCATATAGGGGATTTTGCTGTCAAATGAACATAGAAAAATATAGTACAATCTTATTTAAGTTTACATTTTGAAACCTGAAGCTATCACAGTAAATCATACAGAAGAATAAAATGCAGAATATAGGTAATCCCTGGGTTCCCTTTGTGAATGTTCAAAGTTACATGATAAGTGTCCCCTAGTGCTTGCAAACAAGTCCCCAAACTACAAATTTTGCAGCACCAAGGCAGTTGTTCGCCCTTACAAACAACTGCAGAGGCTCTGCAACATTTGTCCTGAACATTGCTGGGCAAAATGGAGTTTCCGAGGGGTGGATCCGCCACTCCGACGCTCCTTTCGGGTCGCTGGACCCTCGCCTGGCAAGTTGCAGGCCAAAATGGAGCTTGTGAGAAGCAGATCTGCCCCTCAGAAGCTCTACCTGGCAACTTGTAGCCGAAATGGAGCTTCTGAGGGGCTTATCTGGCCCTCACAAGCTCCATTTGGGCCTCATGCTCCCCACAATTGCTTTCCCACCCACCCAACCTGTTGCGCTAGGTCACTTACCTTTTGAAGATTGAGCCCTCACCTGGCCTGTTGCATGCCGAAATGGAGCTTCTGGGGGGGGTAGATCTGCCCCTTGGAAGCTCCATTTCTGCCTGCAATGGACTGGGGGAGGCCTGCGGAGACCCAAACAGAGCATTGGAGGGCCAGATGTCCCCCTGAAAGTTCCATTTCAGCCTGCAACATACCACACAAGGCCTGCGGAAGGCTAAACGGAGGGTTGGAGGGGCACATGCAGCTGAGTTGCCCTTCAGGAGCTCCATTTCAGCTGGCAGCCTGCCAGGAAAGGCCTGCAAAGGCCTGAACAGAACTGCAGAGGGGCACATGCAGCTGAGAGGCTGAGAGGAGATTGCTAGCTATATCTTCACAAGGTAAGTGGCAGGTTGGGAGTGGAAGCAATTGTGGGGAGCATGAGTTATTTCAGTGGGTCAGGGAGGCTTGGGTGTCCTTGGGCAGGTGGCCTGTTCTATTAGTAGGCCCCCCATGGCCTTTCCCACCCTGAAATACCTGTGCACTTAAACAAGCCTCACATTTGATTAGCGAATGCATGGGCAAAAGGAGGGAGTGATCCTGACAAAGGTACAAGATTCACTCTCATGAATCCTCGGGTTACGAATGGAATAGGAAGGCTCCACGACATTCGTACCTGTAGAGAATAGCTTGGCTTGCTAGGGAATTGTGGGAGCTGAAATCTTTATACTTAAAGTTGCCAAGTTTGGAAAATACTGGTTTAGACAGTGGATATTTTGAAGCTATTCATTATCTGATTTTTACAAGTGTGCCCAATATAGGCCCTAATTAAGACCCCACCCACTCCAGGATGCACAGGTAAAAAATCAGCTAGGGTGGGTATGGGGGGTGGGTGGACCTGTCCTACTACTTACCTTCAGATAGTTGCAGCCAGGCCTTGCACACCCCGACAACCGCCTTGCCGACCCATTTCTTCTGCAGCCGGCAGGCTTTCCTAAAGGCCTCTGCAACCAATAACAGAGTTCCGGATCAATCTGGAGGTTTGTCATTGGCTGCAGAGGCCTTCAGGAAAGCCTTGCTGGCCACAGAAGTAGTTCCTGAAGGCCTCTGACAGTGAAAAGGAGGCCAGGGGCAACATGTGCAAATGACGTGAGTCAGTGGAAGACATCCCCCCTAAAATAAGACCTAGTACCTTTTTTGGTGGCAAAAATAATATAAGACAGGGTCTTATTTTGGGGAAAACATGAGTATGTTTTTCTTCCAGCTTTTGGTGTGGAACTTTCATTGTATTATGTAATTGTTTTTACTATAATGATTCAGCATCATAAGTGGCCTTACAAAATTTTGAAATAAATAATTTAGATGCTCTGTTCCACAATCTTCTGAGTAATATTTAATTACTGAGCACAAAACTCAAATTCCATGCTAAGATAATTTAATGAACTATCATATCAAATTAAAGAAATTGATAAATAGGTAGTTCAAATGAAAAAGTATTAGTTCCTAAATACTGACTCATTTCCGGTTGCATTTCCTTCAAGAACGGACCGAAGACCACGATCGTGCACGGCTTCGATCCATGTTGTACCTGTTAGAGGGCTCCAAATGGGGTTAGAACCACCTTGAAGGGGTGGGGAAGAAGGGGAAGACTGCCTGTCAGGTTGAGGGGAGCCGCATCTCCCCTCCTTGACTAGGTAAACTCCCCCCGAAGACAGGCTGCAATGGTGGTTAAATATGGCTACCCTGAAGAAGGAGAGCTACCCGGGACAAAGATTGTGCAGGAGTGGTGAAGAAGCGGACAGTGTGGAGACCAGGCAAATTAAGTGCAATATCTGAATACAAGGTACCCCGGATTTAAAACTTTAAAGAGACTTTAAAAAAAGATTGGAAAAGCGGTGACCAGAAGGAGTGGGGGGAAAATTAGGAGATAAGTGAAAGTGCTTTGAACAGTAAAAGAATTAAATTGAAAGAGGAAAACATCTGTGTAAATTGGATTATACTAAATTATACAATTAGCACTAAATAGGCATACTTAAAAGCTGAACTTGAATGTGCCAAAAAGAAAAAATATACAATGATTGGATTTACTGGATTTTTCAAATTTAAAAGCCCTAAAAGGAAAAGGAAAGTGAAAAAGGGAACTTGGAAATAACAGAGAGCACCACCTAATGGTAAAGAAAAATTTTCAATGACTTTTTAAAAAGTGCTTGGTTCTATAAAGACTGGAACTTAACACAAAGTAAGAGGATCTTTGAAACAATAAGACAGAAACCCTGAAAAGTGCAATTACTATACTATGAAGGAAGAAGAAAGAAACCTGAATTCTGGGAATACTAGGTGACTTTGAGGAAAATTTAAAACTCAACAGAAGTAACTTAACAATAAAAATATATGAACATTTGACTATTATGACCCTGGAAACTCAAAATAGGATTTAACAGAAGTGGATGGTTAGAAGCTGGATTAAATTAACTACTAGATAACTGGACTGGATTTAAATACTGAAGAAAGAGGTAAAAGAAAAATTAAAATTAAAAGAGGTGCACAAGAATGGCAGTCTGGAAATAAAATCGGATTTAAGAAGTATAAGGGAAATGATATGGAGAAAAGTGGAATTGTGCAGTATTATTGCTAGAAATTGGTGTCGTTGGAGAACAAAGATGGACAAGGAGAACCAGTAGGGGAGGAGTTGGTTAAAGAAGAGGCCAACCTCAATGACACAACAAACATTGAAACAGGAGGAAAAAACATGGAAATTAAAACCTGGAGGTCTGAGGGGACAATTAAAGAGGTAATTGATAGGAAAGTCAAACAAAGAAAAAGGAAACAGCAGAAAGGATAATTACAGGAGAAAGTTCAAAAGAGGGAGGGGATAAAAATAGAGTCAGAAATGGAGGGGAAAAATAAAAAAAAATAAAGGAAAAAAGGAATAAGGGAAAGGACCAGGAAAGAAGGGGATATAGAAAGCCAAAAATAAAAAATAAAAAAAAGGTATATGGCTAGAAGACCTAGAGATAATGGGTAAATTGAGAATAAAAAAGGGGATTCTACAAGGTAAGATATAAAGAGGTATAAGAGTATAGATTGTAAAAAATGGAATGATTGGAACTGATGTTTTTATTTTTATTTTTTTCTATTTGATTATTTTCTAAGAATTATTGTTAAATTAACTGGGATACATGTAAAGATGGGATTATTATAAGAATGTAAATTACATTAAATGAAATTAAAAATATAGTTAAAATGAACTATGAGAATTGTACTAAAAAGATAAATGATCAGTTTCTTTATTTAACTGAAAAGATTAATGTATTAGAAAAAATAAATATTTTAGAATAAAGAAAATAATACCATGTGGCATCTAACCTAAAATGTATATGTGATATGTAGTATTTAGGTGATAACTAAAAATGATTATATTATGGTAATTTTAATGAGTTAAAGGGGAGTGAATTGAATGATGTACAAGACAAAAAGGTGGTGCACTCAAATGGGTAATTAAGGAGGAAATGTTTGGAATTATTAACACTAAGATGGAATTTATTCAATAATGAAATAAGAATATATGATGAAATTGCAAATATGACAGATAAAAGTATAAAAATACAATGAATATAGATTAAGAAATAAAGAATTTTAAGATACTATATAAAGAAGATAAAAGTATAATGAAATAAAAACAGAATAAGTTAAGATATGAATTAAAAATGGATCAAATAAATGTGAAAAACATAATATTTTTGAAAAGATATAGAAAATGGAAAATGTAATGATAAGAAACTGAATATGTGAGATAGATATGTAATTATGGTCATGTTTGTATGGAAATATAAAAACTTGGAATCGCACTGTTCACTAAGAGATGTTTGTAAAAGTAAAAAAAAAACTTTTTTTAAAAAAAACTAAATACAGACTGACATTGCTATGCATAGACATTAAAAATAGGATTTCAGCTAATAATGATTATCTAATTCTAATTAATTTTAGCAAATCTAAACCAATATAATGATACCAAGTCTTGATGCCATTTTTGCTTTCTCTTCATTTATTTTTAAAGACATTTATCTTTCAAAATGCATGTATTCACTTAACGGAAGAAAAAAATGACAAATATTTTACTAACCTTTACATATTCCACTGCTCGGGGAGAGAAGTCACAAGCATAAGCAAACATATTCAAATCTTCTAGAAGTGGAAATAAACAGTTCCCAACACCACAACCTGCTTCCAGAATTGTCAATTTTTGATCTTCAAACTGAAGACATGAGAAAGTAATAATTGTAATTGTCTGATCCTTTCAAACAAAGTGAAATAATTTTTGGACTAATAACATTAGCTATTAGAATCAAATTTGTTACAGTGAACCTCCATTCACTGGATCCCACACAACAGATTATCCAATCACCACAAAGATGTATTCCCAAATTAATGACCAAAAATAAAAGGTGATTTTATTATACTCCCATTAGTGGTTTTATTGAAAAGCAAGAAACACTTCATTTAAAAGTAAGTAAAACTAACACGTATTGTGATTCAAGTCATACAATTTATTCAAGCGTTGCATCTTGATACATACAACAAACTGAATCTTAGTCAATTAGAAGCATAAGATCAGTCAAAGATAGTTTATTGAAATTAAAAATATAAAACAGAATTCATGATATTTTTGTATTTTATATGAAAATGAGTTAGTTATTACTTAATTATGGAAGTTACTTTATCAAGAAACTGGACAAATTTGCCCAGAATTCATCTAATCATTTTGATGTGTCATTCTGAATAGAGACCAACATTTACAATTTAGCTAATCCTTACTGTTTTTGATAGTTACAAAATGTTAAGAATATAGTCCAGGAACTCCATTTGTTCACTGAATGAATACTTGTTTCAAACAGCACAATACCCTGTCTTTTGGGAATTGGAACCAGATACCTTTAGAAAAATGAATCATCTTCAATCAAATTGGTACCAAGAACTGACTGACATTAATATTAAAATTTTCATCCCCAATTTTATCATGGAACGTGCAAAACAAATATATTGCACCAGCCTAGCATGCATGTTTTATAGCATGCATAAGATCAGTTAAGAGTGTCAAACTGGCGGCCTGCGGGCTGGATGCATCATGTGCAGGCCATGCCCACCCCGGCTCCGTGAAGGGGAAAAAAACATTGTGAAATGTCACATGTCTACGTGACATGGCAAATTTGACACCCATGAGTTAGAGGTTTCCAATTCAGAGATTTTTCTATAGTAATTCTTTATTGTCCTCTGGTGCTAGAGAATGTGAAACTCACTTTATGGCAGGCTTTTAATTCTTCAAACTCTCTAGTTGTCCAGTGTCTGTCTTTGAAAAAATTGGTGCTGTTCCTTTTGTAGAATAGGTCCCAGTTCTTTTGTGCTTCTTTCTCAAGTTTCTGCTGCTTGAAGTCAGATATTAAGACCTGATTTTGGGCTAATTGTTCAGGACCTAGAATTCTTGTCTTCTGCCCATTTTTTTGGAAAGACCCATCTTCACAAACAATTATTACCTCATCAGTATGAGGAATAGATGAGTGATCTTTTAGAATTTCAGATTTAATCATCTTAATTACTGGACAGCAGATTCAAAGTTGGATTAATCCTTAATTATATAATTGCTCACATCACATATCATACAAGAACTAGATGTAAAAACACAACAAAGAAAAGTTACTATTTTGCAATTTTCTCTGGATACCAAATGATAAAAACATTGACAATACCATCATTTCCCTTACTTTCGTCTTCTAAAACTTCTAAAACAAGAGTGTCAAACTCACAGTCCACTGGCTGGATACGTCACATGCTGCCCCTGCCCCTACCCGATTTAGCGAAGGGGAAAAAGTTCCGATATGTCACATGATGCTGGAGTGACGACGTGAGTTTGACACCTCTGCTCTAAAAGCATACTTTAATTAATATATAAAGAACATGCTCTGCATGAATTGACAGGTCACAAAGAGAAATAATGTAACCAGTTACAGTTCTTTACTACTGACTACCAAGGACTAGAAAAAATTAATTTGATTCTTATGGAACTTTAAGCCCAGATGTAATTCAAGTTTCAGTTTAGTTTGATGTGTATACCCTGGTTGAATTATTACAGTATTCCAAGTTCAGAAGTAAGCAGAGGCAGTCCTTGAAAAGGACCTCTGTTTAGTTCTGAATAAAGAGACCACCAGTCTAAACTAGAGGTAGTCCTCAACTTATGATCAAAGTTGAGCCAAAAATTTCTGTTGCTAAGTGAGCCATTTGTTAAATGAGTTTTGCCCCATTTAATGACTTTTCTTGCCTCAGTTGTTAAGTAAGTCACTCCAGTTCTTAAATTAGTAACATGGTTGTTAAGTGAATCTGGCTTCCCCATTGACTTTGCTTGTCAGAAGGTCTCAAAAGGTAATTACATGATTCTGGGACAGTGTAGCCATCATAAATATCGGTCAGTCGCCAAGTGTCTGAATTTTGCTCACATGACCATGGGGATGCTGCAATGGTCGTAAGTGTGTAAAACAGTCATAAGTCACTTTTTTCACAGCCATTTTAACTTCAAATGGTCACTAAATGAACTGTTGTAAGTCAAGGACTACCTGTACGAACAATTTGAAAAAAGGCAATAGCCAATCAATTACAGTCTGTAGCCAAATCAAGTATTCAAAGCCCAACCTGAAATTACCAAGAGATGAATTTTCCTGGTAGGAGCCTCACCTGTTTTAAAATCAATTAAATATCAATTAAATATCTTAAAATCAATTAAATATAAAAGCTATTGATCTGATAGGGCCTCTATACACCTTTTTACATTCCTGTTTTCCAAGCGAACACAACAGAAAGTGTCCCCGGGTGATCGATTCTCGTTCAGCTCCGAGGAAGAGCGTATCATGCAGAAAGGCCAATTATGGATCTGGATTAAATTTCCCGGTACTGAGAGCTGCTAACAATTCAAGAACCTTTGCATATGAGGCCAAATGCGTCAGTCTTGTCCCTAGTGCTACCACGTCCCTCATATCTATCTACCTGTTTGTGCCCGCTAAGACCTTCCTGGTCCCGCCACCCGCCCTTCTTCCCCCTAAAAAACCCCGAATCCCCCCTGCCCCAAAACTACGACACCGTACAGTACCAAGCCCCGTGGTCCCTCTCGATCGGTTCCCCCGGACGGGGAGTGTTTTCCCAGTTGCACGTTGCTCCGAGCCCGGAAGAGAAGACGGGTAGGCGGAGCTGGGCGGCTGCGGGGGTTCTTGTTCTCGGCTGGCGCCGCAGTAACTATGAACGGCGTGGCGAACCCGCTGCTGGACAAGGAGGAGCATCCTCTGCAGCTGGGCGAAAGCTTCGAACGGCACCCTAAAGCCTCATTTCACACCATTCGCTGTGAGTGCCCCGGCAGAAGCGGCGCTTGTAGGCCAGGCCGGCGACCTGAAAGGATCGGCTTAATTAAGCTGGCCTGGCTCGTGTCAAAAGAAGGCCCTAACCGCGCTAACCTATGCCTGCCTAACCGAAACCAGGGTTCACTGAGTTCAATGTGACTTACTCCCAGGTAAGTGGGTAGAGCAGTCTTCCCCAGCCTGGTCCACTCCTAAGGTTTGGATTACAAACTCCATCATCCTCAGACAAGCGGTTGATGCGTGCTGGGGTTCAGTACTTTGGAGCGCACTATGTTGGGGTAGGCATACCTACACTTCTGTGGGAGTAAGTCCAATTGAACTCGCTTTCTGATATGTGGTTGGTTTTAGTATTTAGAGAATAGTTTGTTTGCTTGTTTATTAGATTTATATGCTGCCCATCTCTCCTAGGGCGACTCTAGGCAGCTTACAATAAGTAAAACAATAAATATTAACACTAAAAGTGATTTAAATCAACAAAGATGGGAAGGAATATAGCAGATATACACAGGGAGGAGATGGGGGCTTACCTCAGTCCATTAACCACCTCCAGAATGACACATTTCCATCGGAGCCCAGATCAATTGGCAGAGCCAGGTTTTCAGGCCCTTTCCACAAGCCAAAGGTATGGGTGTAGATCTCACCTGGAGGGGGATGATGATCTAGAGATTTTAATAACTAATATCCACAAAAAGTGTTAATACAGTTAGATAGTTTGTGGATCCCTGTGTTGTGAGGATTAAGGCAATTGTATTCTTGTGGGAATAAAGCCACTGTTTTAAACCACAATATGGTTGGTTTACATTGTGCGCAGTTATTAGGCAAGGGAGTATTTTGACCATATCATCATTTTAATGCATATTTCCCCCTCCAAGCTGTATAAACTTAAATGTTTAGTGCAGGAGTGTCAAACTCACATCGTCAAGGAGGTGTGCATGATGTATCAGAACTTTTTCCCCCTTCGCTAAATTGGGCTTGACTATGGCCAGCATGTGATGCATCTGGCCCACCTGCCGGGAGTTTGACAGCCCTGGCTTAATGGATATAAGCATATCAGGTGATGTGTTTTTATGTAATGAGGGATGGTGTGACCTGAGGAGATCAACACCCTATATCAAGGTGTGCATAATTATTCGGCAGGTTCTTTTCCTCAGGTAAAATAGGCCAATAAAGAGATTTAATTGACTCTAAAAAGTCAAAAATTGTAAAAAGTCTTTCAGAGAGATGCAGCACTCTTGAAATTGCTAAGATATTGGGGAGAACCACAGAACCATCAAACATTTTGTTGCAAACAGTCACCATGGTCAACATGGTCACAAGAAACATGTTGAGAAAAAAAGACATGTTAACTGCCAAAGTTTTGAGAAGAATTGAACTTGAAGCTACCAGAAATCCATTATCCTCCAGATGCAATCTACCTGGAGTGCCCAGAAGTACAAGGTTTTCAGTGCTCAGTAAGTAAGAAAGACTGAAGTAAGTAAGAATTAAGAAAGTAAGTAAGAAAGACTGAAACCTGACCACCACTGAACAAGGTATAGAAGTTGAAATGGCAAGACTGGGCCAAGAAATATTTGAAGACAGATTTTTCAAAGGTTTTATGGACTGATGAGATGAGAGTGACTCTTGACGGACCAGATCGATGGGCCCGTAGCTAGATCAGTAATGGGCACAGAGCTCCACTTTGACTCAGACATCAGCAAGCTGGAGGTAGGGTACTATGGGCTGGTATTATTAAAGATGAGCTAGTTGGACTTTTTTGGGTTGAAGATGGACTCAAAATCAACTCCCTAACCTACTGCCGGTTTTTAAAAGACACTTTCTTCAAGCAATGGTACGGGAAAAAGTCTGCATCTTTCAAGAAGACCATGATTCTTGTGCAGAACAATGCTCCATCGCATGCATCAAAGTACTGTGTGGCTAGCCACTAAAGGGTTTAAAGATGAAAGAATAATATGGCCCCCTTCCAGATCTGTGTGAAGTTCAAAGGGTGTGTGTGTCGAGCCCAGAAAAGCTTGAGCTCTTGCCTGCACAAACAGGCTGGTTATTAGGAGCCCGTCTTCCTCAGTGCTCTTTTGGTCTGGGCATTTGGTCTCCCCCCCCCTCACGCCCCATGCCAAGGGAAAGCCAGCCCTCCTGCCCTTCCCCCTGCTCCCTCCCCTCACTCAATCCTACTTCGGGACAGAGGAGAATGCGCTGGAAATGTGTGTTGGCATTTCCAACATGCCTTTCTCCGGCGCTCGCCCGCAATTCTTTGTGTTCCTCCAGGCCTGGCTTGCTGAGGGGGGAAAACAGCCCTGACGTCTCTGCGGCCCCCTCCATGGCCCCAGCCATCGCTGCCCGGGGAAGGCACAGGAAAAGAAAGTGAGCAGAAACATAGCTCTTGTTGGGGCGAAAGAGCAGAGATCGGGGAAGGCACAGGCAACAGAAAGCGGTGTTTTTCAAATGTAGCAGCTTGCATTTTTTGCCTGTGCCTTCCTCAATCTCAGCTCTTTCGCCCCAGTGAGAGCTATGTTTCTGCTCACTTTCTGTGCTTTCCCCGGCCAGCGATGGGGGGGTGGGGGGACAGCAGAGCAGAGTGCCAACTGACACTGATGCCCCATTCCGGACCTCTGAACTGGATGGTGAGCGCAGACTTGCCCACTCCGCTCCCTCCTACCACCACCAGCTGTACTTTTCCTGTCCCGGGCCATCTCTACAGCCCGTGACCATTGAGGAAGAGCCCAAGCCAGGAGAAGCGAGCTGGAAAGTGCAGGAGTGCTGTACATATGCAAGTAGCATGGCGCTCCTGCACCTTCTGGCCATCTCCATCACTGCTTCAGCCTGCCTGTGCTGCCAGCCCCCTCTGCGCTGCTTTTTGCAAGTTTGCGCTTGGCCGAAGGGTGGGGGCCAGCAGGTGGGCGAGCCACGTGGGCAGCACAGCCTTGTGTTCCTGCGCAACCTGGATTAATTGCTTTGGGGGGGGCATTTCTCTGTAGACCGCCATAATTTTCTTATGGACCATCAGTGGGCCGCAGCCCACCGGTTGGTGACCACTGCTATGGAGAACTTGTGGGCCCTTCTTAAATGGGAGATTTACATTGAAGGGAAATACTACACTTCTCTGAACTGTGTCTGGGAGACTGTGGTTGCTGCTGCACAAAAATTGATCATCAACAAATTAAGAAACTGATAGACTCCATGAATGGAAGGCTTATGGTTCCTGAAAAGAAGGGTGGCTATATTGATCACTGATTTTTGTGTGTGTGTGAAATGTCAGAAATGTTTATTTGTACATTTTGAGTGTTTATTATTCTCACTTTAACATGCAAATGAATGAATGAGATCTGCAAATTTTTGTTTAGTTGCATAATAATTCTGAACACTAATAGTTGTCCAATAATTGTAGATACACTCCTAAGAAAACCAAAACCTCCCTTTTACTTTCTTAAATGTTCAGGCTTGAGGTTTATTAACATTTTGGATTGACCAAGAGCATTGTAGTTGTTCAATAATGAAATTAATCATCTCAAATACAACTTGCCTAATAATTGTGCACAGAGTGTAAAGTATATTTTTTGAAAATAACCCTTTCAAAACATTCTGGACAAATATGTGACTGTAGCAGTTGCTTTTATTTACTCAGGTTTAATATGCTATGTGAATAGTTAGTTGACAGTTTAGTGTTTAGATCAAGCAATTAAATCAGTGGACTATGATTGTTACTTATGGATTAACATTAGGCATTTTCGGCAAATATAGTCCTACCTATCCCTTCTGTAAAGAGCTTCACCTTTGGACATTTAGTTGCTGAGGTTTCAGTTTCCAGGCATAAAAGGAGTTTATACAATTTTCAATTTCAGTTTCTAGTTCCTCAACAATCAGTTGAAGGTTATGAGTGAAAAAGCTGCTCAATTAAAAAGAAAGGAAAACTAGCAAGGATACCATGAGCCAATCAGTTCTCCCTCCAGATGCTCAACAGAAGAGGTTCAAAAAGTGTAGCTCCTCCTATATACCATCTGCTGAATTGCCAAAACGACAAGAATCATTTTAAATTAACATTCTATGCAGAAAGGAGAGAAAATATTGCTAATCCTCTCTCACCACCATCTGTGGTTTAATTACATATTAGGTATATGTTTGCCATTCCTGCTGAAAATGTTTTTATCAGATAAAGACACCCTGCTTTTAAGGCTCAGATTCTTCTATTTGTGTTAAAAGGCACTGCTAGCTATCTTTATAGAATCTTTAAACATGGTTGTAGATTGCAGTAGAGCATCCAGGCAGTGATGGGTAGGGGCCATGCTTGAGGCCAAAAGATGAGCGAGCTAAACATTTCATGAAGGTTGCTTATTGTACAATTGTTTTATGGAAATTTTGAAACTGACCAAGAAGGAAGCATTTGCAAATCATTTCCAAAATCATGCTCAAAAGCCCTGCATGGTAGTAATTTTAATTCCAGAGGGTCTTTCATTTGCTTCTGTTCCTTCTTTAGTGTACGTTGAGTTGCTTGCACCCAGAAAGTGTGGTGAAGTAAAAGCAAAGGCAATTTAAAAAAAGCTGCCCACAAACTCCAGTATTGCAAGAAAATAAAAAGGAGTTTTTACCTCAGCCCCACACTAGGCTGAATTCTTAGATCCATAGTCCAGGATTTGCACAAAAGATGTATTTTAAGGGGTCTTCAAACAAATACAGTAAAACGTGAGTTTCTGAGGAAGTTTACAATTCTTTGTGTATCGTCACATAAGAAATACAACATAGCCCAGATGACATATTTTGCATAACAGGCAAAACGTTTATGTTTAACAAACATTCCCCACTCTAATTATTTTA